CTTTGAATTTTTGGGTAAATCTTAGCATTAAAAATAATAGAAAGTTGTCAAATACTACTTGCTCCCCTCACTTTTATTTGTCCACTATATCAAAAGAATATATTTTTTACTTTTTACTTTTAGTATATCAAAAGATATTCTTTTTACGTTTTACCCTCAACTATAATTACATATTTCAAATTATTTTCAAGGCCTAAAATGACATGTCAATTAATATAAATATTATGATAAATACTTATATTTATTATAATTTAATAGGCGTGTAAAATTTAAAATTGATAAATAAAAATAAATAAAATGTGTATAAAATACAGACGAATCCTACAAAATATTTTCATCTAGAAAGAGACCAGTTTTCGGACGTTAAAAGGATGCAAATGAAGAGTGTCAAATAGAAAAAATCAATGAGCCCACATTTCAAAAGAATAATACTTCAAGAAGCTTACAATTATAGGTAAAATGCGACATTCAAGTGGTCCTCGAATTTTTGTTTACTATATAATAAATGTGGATGTTATTTGCTTATTCATATTTATTGGATAATAATACTCGGTAGGCGTCTTATCGTAGGAATTGAAAATTCAATTTCAAGTTTTAATTTAAAATCAAAGTTTGTTTAAAAAAATTTAATTCTAATTTCAAATTTCAAATTTCAAATTTCAAATTCTCCAAAAAAGTAGGATTTCAAATTACAATTTTAAACTGTGATTGTAATTTAATTTTTTAAATATAAAACTTGATCCATAAGTTTCTATTTGGTAAAAAAAAATATTCTATTATTTAAATATTGTTTATAAAGAAAGACATTAATTCGATGTGAATAGATTATTTGTACCATGTAAAAGTATTGTATTATTGAATAATTGTAAAATGATGTGAATTACTTATTACTATTGTTGATTTTTAAAAAAAATTAGTGAACCATTGTAAAATTGGTGTAGTTCAAAACTTGAAATAATATGTAATCGCAAATTTTTACTTATAAAAAGAATAAAAAAGTATGTGATTCATTAATATAGCTCCTTACGATATTTCGATACATGACTTATGAATTATGATTGCCATTTGAAAAAAAAATGTATAAGATTGGAGACGTTTTGATAATTTAAAAAAATTGTGAGGTTTATATATTTGTAAGACTAATTACAAATTAAAAATATAAATTATATATTTAAATAAAATTTAATTTCAAAGCAATATATTTTTAAATTACTGATTTGAAATTATGTCCCAACAAATCCTGGATGGTTAGTACGGTTGGTGAAATAGTTTTCTTTTATTTATTAATGTGTTCCTTGTTACCTAGTCAGTTCCAATTTGTTTGATATTATTTACTTTATAAGAAATATTAATAAAAGAATTTGAATTCTTGAAACTTTAAAAATAATGTAATATAATAATAGTAGTTAAGAAAATGAAAAATGAGAGTGAAAAATAAAACTTTTCAAAATTATATAGCATATATATGGTGGTCTTTTCATTTTAGAAGTCTTTTTCAAAATACTATTATCATTTATACGTTAAGGCTCTCTATTCAAGTACAACAAATAAAAGTAATTATAAAAAAAAGTATTGAAATTACTCCTGAACTTGGAGTATTATTGGTTTGATTTTTGAATTACTGATAGCCTTAAAAATACTCTTTTTCTTGACTAACTGATAGGGATTGCAATGGGTGGATGGGGCGGGGCGGTTGTGGGGCAAACCCGCTAAAATTATAACCCGTCCCGCCCCACATAGCATCATTTATTGGTTTCAACCCACCCCACCATGCCCTACATAAACCCGCTTTGCCTCGTCCCGCACCCCATAATTTGTAAAAGGTTTCAACTATTAAATGCAATAAGTGTTTAGCCAAAAAACTTTAAATTATTTTAATTGCTTAATATTTTTTTAACCTCTAAAATTAATATGTTATACTGTTCCAAACAGTCAGTAACTTTTTTTGTTGATAATTTTGAATTTTATAATATTAATAACATTGGCCCTCGTGGCCCATATCAGTTAAAAAAAAGAAGAAAAAAGATTACATATGACATAATAAACAAATTATTGAATGTAGTCAAAAAGAAACAAAATATGTCAATTTCCTTTCTAATTTATTGGCCATTCAAAAACATTTTTTCATCCAAACAGTGACCAAACACTTCAAAAATTGATGCAAAAGTTAGTGTAGATCAGCGAATATAAAAGACTTTTATCTCAAATTCGCGCCCCGCCCTGCCACGCGAGAATTTTGAAAACATATATTTAAACCCGCCCTGCCCCGCCCCAAACCCGCAAAAGCTATAACCTGCCCTACCCCGCGAACGATGAAACCCGCCCTGCCCTACTCACCCCCGCCCCATTGATTTCCCTATTAACTGAACTTAAATATACCCCATTTCATGTCATACACATAAATTTGTTATTCACGAATGTACACATAATTTTTTGTTGATGTGACATATAGAGAAATTTACTGTATGACATGAGAGAGGAATTTAAAATTCAGTTAGCCAAGTAATTAAGTATTTTTAAAGCTGTTAATAATTTGAGAACGAAACTTATAATTTACCTAAAGTTTTATAAATATTATTCGAGCAAACAGTAATTTTCACATAACAGTTGATGAACATAAATAAAATAAAAATTAAAAAAGAAGAAGATAATGTGTGTAATTGGAACCATACCTCATAATTGTAACACTTAAGGCGAGTGAAAGTTAGCTGAAAAGAGGTAAAAAGAAATATCTTATTATTTTGCAGATTTTGTCAACTTCTATTGTAGATTCTTTTGAATAAATTAAAGGTTGAGTAATGGAGTCTTGATGCTTACATTGATAAGATTTTTTAACAAACCTAAAAAATTAATAATATGTGTAAACAAAAATAAGTCTGGGCCAATGCTTGCCCCTACATTTTGAGAATAATTTTTAGGAATTTTTACATAAATAAAATATTTTATTTGATTAGTTATTCTTTTAAGTGTTACTTTATTTTTATTACCATATATGACATAATTTTATCTTTGATAACCATTTGATATAAATCTATATTAAAGTTGTATATAATTGTATATTAGGTGAAGTTCTAGAAAATTGCATTAAAGTTGTATCAAAACTGTATTAAATATAAATAATCGATGGTCTGATGATGGTGAATACAAAAAAGAAGAGTGAAGCTCTAAAATTCTGCATTAAAGTTGTATTAAAATGGTATATCTATAAACGATAGTTATAATACAATTCGAATTCGATATTATAGATTAATATAATTTCGATAGTTATTATTCCAGAACAAATATCATACATTTCTAACAATGTAAACTAATTTAAATAGTACCGGAATGTTTGAAATTCACATATAATACTTATAATATATTTGTATTAAAAATGTTTTAGTTATATATTGGTGAAGTTCTGAAAAATTGTATTAAAGTTGTATCAAAACTATATTCAATATAAATAATTTGTGGTCTGGTGGTGGTGATTTACCGAAAAAGAAGAGATGATGCATTGAAAAATTTGTATTTAAGTTGTATAAATATAAACGATAGTTATAATATAAATCAAATTCAATACTATACATTACTATAAATGCGATAGTAATTATATGCCAGAACAAATATAATACATTTTTAACAATGTAAACTGATTTAAAAAGTATCGGAATGTTTAAAATTCACATATAATACTTATAATATATTTATATTAAAAATGTTTTAGTTATATATTCACCACATGCATTGAAGCGTGCATATAATATGTACAATATATTGAATTCAATTTTTTTTTATAACTGTTGTATATTTTTTCTCTTATTAACGGTACTAAAACATGTTATTGTATTAAAAATCTTTTAGTTATATATTTAATATGTGCATTGATGCCTATAATATGTATTACATATTGAATTCAAATATATTACAATTGTTATTTTTTTTTCTCTCTTATTAACGTTGTTAAAACATATTATTGTTTTAAAAGATTTTCGTTATATATTCACAATGCGCATTGAAAAATGCATAAAATCCCTATGTATAATGTATTGAATTCAAAATGTATGACAAGTATAATTAATTGGAAAAACCCAACTTCAAGAAAAAGTAAGTTTGTCAAATTATATTTTATTTATTTTAGTAATATATAGGCTAATATTTTATTTTACAAAAAATAAAATAAGTGAAGTAAGAGTAATATAGTAAACCACATAAAAAATAATATATAAAATATAATAGAGCCAAATTTAAAGAAAGATTTTTAAAATTATCCCATTTTTTATGATCTGTGCAAAATTTGAAAGGTCTAAGTTGCTTAATTTGAATGAAACTAGTTGCTTAATCCTAATGTAAAATGGTTTATCAAGACTTAACTATTTTGGACCATATTAACATTGTTATACGCATTTCTTTGAAAACATGAAAAATTTAGACCACAGTTCATCTCATGTTCAATAATTGACACAATCTCAACTTTTCTAAAAAAAAGATATTTTCTAGTAAAATTTAAGGTAGCCTTTTTAGGGCTTGTTTGGATATTTGACTTATGAAAAATAATGTATAAGTCAAAAGTTAAAAGTCATAAGTAAATGATAATCTATTTTTTATTTATTTTTAAATATTTTTGGCCTAAAAATAAATACTTAAAAGCACTTTATAACCTTTCCAAATACCTCAAAAACTTAAAAAAATACCCTAAAATAAAAAAACACCTAAAAATGAGTTAATCCAAATAGACACCTTTAGTCAGATTTATTTCTTCATAACATATATGATATAACTCTTTATTAGCAAATAATCTTCCAAAATACATAAAAGATCTTGGACGGTTCTACTACAACAGATATGCTGTTTATTTTCCATATAGGATAAAGGTAGCATAAAAGAAATATTTTTTATGATAGCTGGCATAAATAATAGAGTAAATAAAGGGAAGGACTAGTTGAATAATAATGAGTTGAATATTTTTGTATAAATAGGGAGCATTACACAAAGTGTTAGACAGAAGGTAGAGAGGCAACCAACAATGGCTATGAGAAATCTCTTAAGCTTCTGCATCTTTTTCCTTATAGCTCTTGCATATTTTTTTCCTCTAACGAGCGCTGCAATTCCTGCAAAACGCTTTTATGCTCCATTTAATCGAACTAGCTTCCCTCCTGATTTTGTTTTTGGCGCTTCATCAGCTGCTTATCAGGTAGTACTCCTATAATATAATACTTCAAATTTTCTACACCCACACGCGCCGAACTATATCATCGTTTCAACACTTATTTGAAGCGTACGTATATATGTTTCTGCCACGAACTCAAGTTGATAGAATAATATAATAACGGACTTCACAATGCAAATCTTTTAGGTAAAAACTATTGTGCTCAGGTGAATTATCCAAAAACCTTCCGAATTTGCCCCTCCTTCGTGTGTGCGGGGGCTTTATTTTTGTTCCTGATTCAAGCACCTGAATCATTTTTTTTTAATTTTATAAAATAGTGAGAATTGAACATATATACAGCTTAATTAACCATTTTATTTAAGAATTATTAAGCTACTTATGTTTTTATTTATTTATTTAATTGTATCTTTAATATTACCTACCTCACACACACATGTATATATATATATATACATGCCTCTCCGTGAAGTATCGAAATATGTCTTTTTTTAAACAGACTAAAAAAGAAAATAAATCATATAAATTGAGAGAGACGTAGTATTAACTTTTTTTGTTTTTGTTTAATGAGCTTTCAGATCGAAGGAGAGGCGCTTAAAGGAGGAAGAGGACCTAGTATATGGGACACTTTCACTCGACAGCACCCAGGTCTCATCATGAATTAACATAAAATACAAGTTTAAAAAAGGAGGAGGACGGAACAAAAAAAAGTTATCTGGGATTTGAAGTTTACACCACATATCATTTTAATATTACTATTGTTAACTTATCAAAATTAAAATCACCAAAACTTAAGAAAAGTATTGTTGGGTTCAAATCCAAACCAAAGATAATACTATATATATATATATATATATACCTTACACTTCACCAATAATGCAAAATTGAACATTGCATTAGCGATCACTGCATTTTGAAAGCTTGAAGAATATGTAATCCAGAAAATAACTCTGCCTTCGTTGTTTCGAATATGACCAGAAAGCTAGCTATGGCGGCTACTATATTTGATTAGCTTCAGATATATATATATAGTTAATTACCCACCATTTTTCTCAACATCAGTTAAAACAAGTGGGTGTCTTACTTATTTTCTTCAAATGGATACGAGATAGATGGTTGAGTGCGGCGGGGGTGGCCATGGTAGGAGAAAAATAAACATAAAATGTTGACTTATCAGAAAAAAGTTCCCTATTTTTATTAGAATTTTTTTTCTTTTCTCCATAGAAAAATAAAACGCATTTTGGAAAACGTTTTCCTCCATTCCAAACAATCTCGTACTTATTGATTCCATAACTAAATTAAAGAGCATCAAATCAAATATGATTTTCAAAGTTCATAATTTTACATAGAACTTTTTACGGATATTCTTTAATGCATTGAGTAATATGTGTGTGAAGTAGAAATGAAAGATTTACAAAATGAAATTAGTATGTATCAAATTTGTAGCGAGATTGATATTTCATACCATACCAAAATTTAGGCTTCTTAGTGCTTGTTTCTTCATATGATATAACTCTTTCTTAGCAAATATTCTTCCAACATACAGAAAAGATCTTTGATGCTTCTACAGCAGATGTGGCTGTTGATTTCTACCATCGCTATAAGGTATACATATATGACATACAGTGCATGTTCGTTGCACTTCTTTATGTCCCTCTAAACTGCATATATATGTTTCATTTAATATTATAGGAAGACATTCAACTGCTTAAGCAAGTGGGATTAAGAGCTTTCAGGATGTCAATCTCTTGGTCTCGAATTTTACCATGTACGTCGTAACAATTCATTACTTACCTATTCTTAAAGAATAAGAGAGAAACTCAAGATATGAAATATCAACTAGCTAGGCTGCTACTTCTTGTACCACCTGAAATTGACTAGTAGCCTAGTGCTAGTGTGACTCTAACTCAGGATAATTGGACCATGTTATTCAGCCTGTTCCATACATTCAGTTTCCCTAATCTTTAACCCCTATAACTTATGGATGTGAAATATATTTACAAGGAAAATTATGTATAGTTGATCTGCTGAAAGCTTTGTTTCCTTGTTGTGTTTATTTAAGACGGTAAGGTTAGCAAAGGAGTGAATCCAGAAGGCATCAAATTCTACAATAATGTGTTCAACGAGCTAATCGCTAATGGTAATAATATAATTACTTCTCCCTGATCTCTCATTAATTATTTATAATACTATCCATTTAATTAATAAACTTTTCCTTAGGTATAACTCCTTTTGTGACTCTATTCCATTGGGACACACCACAAACCCTTGAAGACGAATATAAAGGGTTTCTCAGCTCAAAAATAGCGTAAGTAGGAGTTTAAATAATAAAATAATTGGAGTTAGCACTCATCATGAACTAATCATATATGTTGTTGCTAATTAATTCAGGAAAGATTATGGTGACTTTGTGGACATTTGCTTCAAAGAATTTGGGGATAGAGTAAAGCATTGGATAACTCTAAATGAACCACTTTCTTATAGCATGAATGGATATACAAAAGGAACCTTTGCACCAGGAAGATGTTCTAAATATGTAGGTAATTGCACTGAGGGTAACTCTGCTACTGAGCCATACATTGTTGCTCACAACTTGCTTCTAGCACATGCAACTGCTGTTAAGATCTATAGAGATAAATATCAGGTAATTAATTACTAGATCTACCTCTTTTTCATGACAAAACTTTTATTTTCTTATCTTATCCTCCCTCTCTCCAATAATATTGACATGTGAATTAACAAACAGTAAATGATTGATGTAACTTTATTAAATCACTCATATTAAATACAAGTCACTTAAATGTTTAAAAATGAATAGTATTTAATAGCAAGAGTAAAATAAATATAACATGATAAATTTTTCACTCGACAAATATCATTAGACATCTCAAAATAAGATAGTCGACAAGTAAAGATGGACAGAGGGAGTACTTACTATCTCTTTTAATAAGATTATTTAATTTGTCATAGTTTGGGTGATTATTCATAGATATTTGGGTTGAATAATACTCCCTTTATTCTCATTTATTAAAATATATATATATATAAATATATATTCTCACCATTTCAATTTTATTTGTCTGATTTTGATTTGAAGCATACAATATAAGAAAGTAAAGAAAAATATTTTTGAATTTTACTATCTTAAATTATAGATATGTAGAATGCACCTTGTCATTTAATCTTGTGGGCCCTTAAACAAGTGAAAAATTATAATCAAAGAATTATCAAAAAAGAAAAGAGATATATTTTCTAAAAATGGATTAAAATGAAATATAGGAATTTTTTTTGAAACAAAGCTATTGAATGCAAAATATAAATTGGACAATTATAAAATAGAGTTGGGTGACTATTAAGTGCATTTAATTAAATAGAAAGCGATATATACTATCCATCCGTTGTTTGGAAGTTTGCTTCTTGCCCATGCATAATTCAGAAATCTATTACTCCCTCCGTTTATAAAAGAATGATCTTCTTTCCTTTTTAATTTGCTTTAAAAGAATGATTTTTTTCTTTTTTTGGTAATATTTTAATTTCAGTTTTCCACGTGACATGTTTAAGGCCACAAGATTAAAAAATAATTTTATGTATTTGACAGAACTTTAATTTAGAACCATAAAATTCAAAAGTCTTCTTTATTTTTCTTAAACTCTGTGTCAAATCAAATTAGGTCATTTTTTATAAAACGGAGGAAATATTTTGTTTGCCGTTAATTAATTAAATATTCATACTGAATATATTTAAAATATAATTGCAGAAAAGTCAGAAAGGGGAAATAGGAGTTACTCTGGTCACTCACATGTTTGTGCCCAAAATCAATACACCTCAAGGACTCAAGGCCCCACTAAGAGCTCTTGATTTTATGTTGGGATGGTAAGTGCTACTGACCACATTAGCCACTGCCACATGCATGGCATCTTCATGACACTCTGAGCAAGTTGCAATTTTTTATTAACCACTAGATGCATGTTAAACACGCTCTCTACCTTTTTTTTTTGTTTTTTTTTTTTTACGGACTTGATTTGCTAGAATGAGTATGTAAAAAGTATTATAAGTTATAATAATTGTCAATTCAAAATATTTAAAGGATATATAAAAAAATTACCGTCAACGATATAATTGTTTGAATCTCGAAATAAAAAAGGTGGTTAGGACAGAAAGAGTATATAAAGTATGGAATTTGAATCCGAATGTGATTGGAAATTAAAATGTTAATCATTTCTAGATGATTGGTAAAGCGAGATATATTACATTAATACATGTAGATAGTAATTAATCTCTTATATTAATAAAATACAGGTTTTTGGATCCAATAACATATGGTGATTACCCGGCAAGCATGCGAGCTATGGTAGGACGTCGGCTCCCAAGATTCACAGTTGAGGAATCAAAGCTAGTGAAAGGTTCAATGGATTTCTTAGGGGTTAATTACTATACCACATATTATGCTTCTCCATTGCTCTCTGTTAATAAAGTTAATCTCAGCTACACCACTGACAATCATGCTGATCTTTCACGTAAGACTACAAACAAACTTTATTTCATACCTCTTTTGTCACAATTTATATGACACATTTCGTTTTTCGAGAATCAATCATTTTAAGTTTGACCGAGAATTTGCTCATGGAATCATCAATTTTTAAAAAATGAAATTTAGATATTATAAGTCATAATAATCGATAATTTAAAATATTTACAAGATATATAAAAGACGTACGGTAAAAAATACTTATTTGAATATTAAAATTCGAAATGTGTCGTATAAAGTGAGACTCTATATCTTCTTCAGTTTCAACTAATTACTTTCTTCTTTTTTTCTGTTAAGCATTAAAGGACGGAAAACCTATTGGCACACCGGTACTCTTTCTTTCCTATTTCTTTTCCTGTAATTCAGAATTTTCTCTTCAAAATTTTGACTCATATATATGTTAATTAATGTGTGTAGACTGCCTTGGATTGGCTTTTCATTTATCCAAAAGGAATCTATGGTCTCATGCTTCACATCAAGGAAAAATATAACAATCCTCCCATTTACATCACTGAAAATGGTACTTACCTCACTTTTGGTGGTCTTCAAAGATAAGTGTTACATAACTGCTAAAATATTTGACATCAAATTTCAGGGATGGCAGAAGCCAATAATAGCACAATGTCACTTAAAGAATCTTTGAATGACGACATGAGGATAAAGTATTATGAGGGCCATCTATGGTTTCTATCAAAAGCTATTAAGTAAGTTTTCTTCTGTAGATTTTTTTGTTTTATTTTGGGAAATATATTATAATCTAATGTAAATAAGTTGCATAATGTGCAGGGCTGGAGCAAACGTTAAAGGACATTTTGTGTGGTCATTCTTAGATGATTATGAATGGGATGCTGGTTTCACTGTGCGGTTTGGCCTCACTTTTGTTGACTACAAGAATGGTCTTAAACGATACCATAAGAAATCTTCTTATTGGTACAAGAAATTTCTATTGTACACTGGCCTATAAATTATGTCACTCTTTCTAGTAGCTCTACTTTGGAAAATTGCATTTTATTTAGAGGTCCATGTGAATTTAAGAGCTCTAGCTACTTGCACTCTCTGTTGAGTGTTGACAGAAAATAAATGTCCTTTACTTTTATGTCATCAAGAATAACATGGGAGCACCTCCCTATTAATCTTATCTACTTGCTTGCTACATTTGTTTGCTAAGCCGCAACAATTTGCAATTTATCTCTATAATTTCAAAGATTGCACAATAATGACCACTGTTTTAATAGGTGGAGGCATGACCCGGGGCATTTTACTTCGCATAGGGCGAAGCTTCAGCCCTATGGATCTTTAAATTTTTAATTTATGATATAGTATAATAATATAATAACGCAAAATTATAAAAATACATCAATAGTTTTAAATAATTACAAACATGAAACTCATAGAAAATAAACTTCTAACATGATTATACAAATTTAAACAATCTAATATCTTAACTTTCCACTAATAAAGTAATCATTATTTTAAAAATATATTAGAGGTAAGTGTTAAAACCACACCTAAATTATTCCCTTTTTTGAGTTTCATACCTAAACTATTGAGAGTGTGAGTTTCATGCCTAAACTATGAGAAAATAGTTTGTCTCTCTAACCTATTATCGAATTCTCAACTACACACTTATATTTTGCGGGGGTCCTATTACCCCCCTGAACTTTTTAAAAACAAAATATATACCACCCTAAAACTAGACAACCACATTCTCAACATATAGTGATTCTTCTTCTTCTTCCAAATCACTCACCCACGGAAAAATATCAAAGCTATTTTTATTATCATTTTTTCATCATTTTATAGCATCCTTCAGGCACCTTGACAAGCTTGATTACTTTTTCTTTTTTTTTTTGAATATTTTTATTATGTTATTTCTTTGTCTCCATGACACCAAAGTTATAATATTTTATTTACGAATTGTCGATGGTTAAATTCTTGGTCTTCACCAAATAACAATAGAGATTAAAGACAAGATCTGATGGTTGTATGTTATTGACCTAAAATCAGTGCGAAGGTAGATTGATGATGTTGATATTTTGAGCTAACTTGAGATTGATAAAAATGAAATAAAGTTGGATGATGACCCAGATCATATACCCAAAACTCATGTTTAGTTTGGTTTATGAAATTCATGATCGAAAAAATCTATTTTATAGTCATAATTATTTTAATTAACTGGATTTCTCCAATAGTTAAAAAAAATAGAATGAATTTTTATGATGGAAGGTGTTTAATAATCCTTTTTTTTTGGTTTTGTTTATCCTATCTTTCTTCTTCTGCTTTTTTTTTTTGTCTTAACTCTGTGATTTTTTTTGGAATAGTGAGATAATTAAGGAAAATTTGATTCCGACAATATAAGTAATAATTTAAGATTATTTGATGATTTTTTTTTAAATTCAAAGTGGGTCTCAGGGACCATTTATTAGAAGCTAAAAAAGGAATAACCAGATCATAAAATGATCTGGTCCAAAAACAAAATACTTTGTCCAAAAACAAGATACAAAAATGAAACAACCAAAAAAAAGGAAAAAGGAGTTGGTCTTCTTCAAGCTTGACCTTCCATGGAGGATGAAGACGAAGTGCTGCCTTGGAGAAGCTGCGTTCGGTTTGTTTCCATCCCACTTAATCCACATAGCTCGAACAACTTAGGTAAGAATCGATCTGCTCCCTAACTCACTTTTGATGTTGTAAACGATCCTTGAGCTCCATTTTTAAGTTTTACCCTTTCCTGCAGATTGAGTCAGAAACCCTAACTAATACCACTACATAGGCCAGGTAATTCTTATTAATTTTGCTAAAGATCGTTTCTTTAAGTACACTACTTCACTGATGTTTAGATTTATATATCTTGATAAACCAATATGATTTCCTTTTCTTTGTGCTTTCACCTGAAATACTATTGTTGTGTGCTGCATTGTGCATTAGTATCATTATCACTGTAGCCATATTTTCTGTTGTGCATTTTTTTGATTCTCAAGTTTGCAATTCCTTGGATGACTCCAATCTGCTCCATGGTCGGAGAAATCGACCTCTCCGATGAAGGTAGCAGGGAGAGAAGGATAGAAGATAGTTCAAATGCCTCCAATATATAGACATAGATTGAAATGGATCCGAATTTGGACAAATGTCACTGAAGACACTCAAAAACTCTCACAAGTGCCATGAAATTAGGTCCTTTGAAGACTTCTTCAACTCGGATTAACCTAATCTAAACCACAAAATGAAGTTGAATGAACAATGCTTTCTCTTCTTTCATCTTTGTACACTGTTATACTTCGATTTAATTCAACATGACCTTCTCTGCAGGTTGAGCCCCAAAGAGGCTGATACCACTGCATAAGGAAGCCACATATGAGTTCCATCTCCGCATAAACAATATATTGCAATTACCTCCACTTATGCAAGTATGCACGTACTACCATCGCCTTTTGATATTTCTTTGTCATCCTTTGGTTGTTGTTGTTTGTCTCAATTATGCTTGTGTATTGAAACCCCTGTTTTGGATGTTTCTAATTCTAAGATTGGGAGTTTGTGTTTTATCTAGGTGTAATATTGCTTTCCCTTTTGGTGGTAACTCTTGGAAATCTGAATAGATGATATCTGTTGTACCTGCAAAAAGAAAAAACTGGTTAGCTATATAATCTGCAAAAATGTTGCCTTCCTTAAGGATGTACTCCACTCTTGCATCAACATTAATTCTCAGACCATTGATCCTTTTCACCTCCACCGACTACTCCAAGGAATCTCCCAAATTCCATTCAAAATCTTTTGGAGCATTAATGAGTCAGTCTCCAATATTACTGGCAAGTATTGATGCATTATATAGTGCTCCAGTCCTCTTCGCAAAGCCATTGCCTCAGACATTAGAACTGAAGTTATTCCCAAACCAAGAGACTCAGCATGTATCAAATTTCCTTCATCATTTCTAATACAAAAGGCCCCAGCACTAGGGCCACCAACTCCTTTTACTGCACCATCCGAGTTACACTTGTAGGACCCTAATCTAGGCAATCTCCAGTACACCATCTTACAATCAATAAGGGGTGCATATTCAGTAAAAAAAGGAACCATCAGATGCCAAGTATTATGAATGTTTTGCAACCAAGGGTAGCTAAAAGTAGCTAGATGATATAAATTTCTGTTGACCTCCATAACCATACCATAAAATGACATATTACCTCCACGAGAAATCATATTTCTCCTTTCCCAGATTTGCCAAGTGATAAATGACGAGACAACCTTGAAGAGAGGTATAAGCTTTGATGAGCAGTCCTTACCCCACCATTTATGTATAGTATCGTTAAGCTGCAAAACAGGTCCCTGCACATCAACAATACTAGCAAAAGTATTCCACAACTTCTTAGCCATAAAGCACGTCACAAAAAGATGTTCAAAAGTTTCATCTTATGAACTATTACAGCAGCAACACTTAACTTCATCCACCACTTTAATCTTGATAAGAACTTCCCCAATGGATATTCTTTTTTTCCACAATCTCCAAAGAAAGAAAGAAAATTTGAAGGGAACTTCTTTCACCCAAATCTTCTTAGCAATTTCTTGTTCATCATTTTCTTGTCTCAACACCTTCCAGGCACTTTCAATCGTAAATTTTCCAGAGCTAGTACACATCCATCTTGGTGAGTCCCATTCTTCGGTATCCTCTACTACTCCAATTACATTTTGGACATGTTTACATACATCTTCTGGTAGTAATTGGAGCATGAGATCTTCATTCCAAAGTCCCTGAATCATCAATTGATTTACCTCATCAAAATCAAAATTGTTAGAATGAGAAACAGGTAAATAATAGTAAAGAGCACCCAATTGTGTCCAGTTATCAAACCATACACTGGAATGACCACACTTTGGTTCCCACCAAATCTGTTGGTCAATACAATCTCTAGCTTCTAACATAAACTTCCAAGTCTGAGAACCTCCATTCCATTCCACCAATTGAGGTCTATGTCTCTTACAATATTTGTTCCACATGTATATAGTCCACATTGACTTTTTAGTTCGGAAAGTCTACCAAAGTTTGGCAAACATTGCTTTGGACACATCAAAAAGAGATCTAAAGCCCAACCCACCTTCCTCCTTAGGCCTACAAATATCAGACCATGATATCCAATGTTTGCTTCTCCCCTCTTCCTTAGAGTTCCATAAAATTTTAGCAAACAATCTATGTAAATCATGAATAACACATTTAGGAGGTGTTATTGCAGATAATAGGTATATGGGAATACTCTGTAAAACATTATTAATCAACACATACTTACCACCAAAAGATAAAAGTTTACCCTTCTAAGCCTGTATTTGATGATTTTAATGATGATTTGCAGTGTTAGTTGTAGAATCTAGTGAAGCAAATTGTAAAAAAAATATTAAAAAATGGATTAAAAAAAATGTGGTTAGTGCAGTGATGGTGGTTCAAGGTGGAGGAAATGGTAGTTTGGGTGAATGTTGAGTAATGAGAAAGAGAGGTAAAAAAAAAAAAAACTTTAAAGAGAAAAGTAAAACAACATATATTTAACAAAAAGTCAAATTTAAAACATTATTATAATATTATTTATCAAGTCTTCTGACTTCCACATGCCTCCAAGAGAGTGAGGAGACTCTATGTGCCATGTCAACATCTAAGGGTGTAATTATTCCATTTTAAAATAGTCTATGAGGGTGATGGGACTCCCGTGAAGCATAAGTGCGTAGTTGAAAATTTGATAATAGGTTAAGGGGGCATTTGACTATTTTCTCCCTAAACTATCACTTATTAGTTTGAAAAACACACATCTCTCTTTTATAACACTCTCATCATGGTGTGTGTAATACAAAACTCTCTTTTATTTTAAAAAATTGTCACATCACACCCCACATGGACAAAACATTCCACCTTGATAAAACTTAAATAAATTATTAGTATTACTTAAAATTAAAAATTAAAATTATTCTCCCAATTTTTTTTTATAAAATAAAATGTAAAATATTTTTCTTATCCCACTCCATTACTTCCTCTCACTGTACACCACCTCCCCCCTTCAAATACAAATTTAGATATTATTTCATTTTTTTTTGAAAAAAAAATTCTACCCACTCCATCTAACCCTCCGCTTCAAAAAAAAATTCTTCTCATTTTGTGTTAGACATA